GGGTGGTCTGGTAGGTCGTCACTAAGCGAGTGCCCGAGAGGACCCGCCGGCCACGGAGGGGGCCCTCGACGCCGGGGCGAGGCCGGTGGGGGGGGCCCCCGGGCCCGCCCCGCCCGCAGGCGGGCCAGGGGACGTCTCCGGGCGAGAGAGACCCACCAGGCAGAGCCCAGAGCCAGCGTGAAGTCGGGCCTGCCCCCCTGCAGGGGGGAGTTTCGACGAAGAAGAAAACATACCCCAAACGTAGGCCAAACATGGTCCAAACATAGTCCGGGGGACTATGTTTTGAGTATGTTTTTGCCCTTTTTGGGGGTAGTTGTGGGGTCTGCCTTTTTTTTCGTCGAAGATCCCCCCTGTAGGGGACAGGCAGCGTTAAGTCGGGCGCATGGGGGCTCGTGCGAAAGCCCCGTCTGGGACGAAGCCGCCCTCCGCCCGCGCACCTGCCGCAAGCACTGCAGGCGCATGTGGTCGCGCCCGCGGTCCGAGGGCCACAAGCCTTCAGCATCTCCACCGGTGCAGCTGGCGGGGCCCAGGGACACTCAAACAGATGCGCTTAAGTCGGGCGTGTCCTCCTACAGGGGGATTTTCGACGAAAAATAAGACATAGTCCAAACATAGGCCAAACATGGTCCAAACATAGTCTGGGGACTCTGTTTTGAGTATGTTTTGCCCTTCTTGGGGCAGTTCTGGGGTATGTTTTATTTGTCGTCGAAAATCCCCCCTGTAGGGGGACGGGCCCGACTTACAGCCAGCGCCGCCCGCATGCGCCGAAGAGGACCTCTCGGGCGGAAAGCCCTCCCGGCTCCAGAGGGCCGCCGCCGCGGCCGCGCGGCGCGCGCGGAGCCTCCGAGGGCCCCCGCACCGTTGGGCGGAGACGGCGTGAGCCGAGCGGCGATCGCAAGGCCACTGAGTGCCGCGCCTCCTCACCGCACGAGGGGAGCCAGGCGCCTTCGGCCGCGGCGGCGGCGGGGCAGCAGGCTGCCAATGGACAGCAGGTCAGGAGGGAAAGAAACACACAGACACAATTGATCGTCGATTCGTAGAAAATGTGGGAAAACATGGGAAGTGGGGGGAAGACAAAAAAACCCCAAAATATGGGAAAATATGGGGGATCTTTTTGTTTGTATTTATTTGTGTGTCCTGGGGCCCCTTCAGCAGGAGCAGCAGGCCGCTCGGCTGCCCAGCGGCGCCGCAGGCCCGCGGCGCGCCGCCGCGGGATCTGCGCGCGGTCTCCGCGGGGCCGCCGCGCCCGCGGAGGGCAGCTTTTGGAGGCGCTGCCGGTGCAGCAGGCCACCCGTCGCAGCCCGGCGAGCGCCGCCGTTGTGCATACCTCCGCCGCGGCCCGAGGCAGGTCGTGTCTGATGAACGAGCAACACGCCGCGGCGAGCCCCGCGGCGGGCCCCTCCTCCTCCTCCTCCTCCTCCTCCTCCTCCTCCTGCCCCTCCTCCTGCTCCTCCTCCTCCTCCTCCTCCTCCTCCTCCTCCTCCTCCTCCCTACACCCATACCCATAGGGGGGTCGTCGGGAGGGGGACTGGCTAATTATGGGTATGGGTGCGGGTTGTCGGACCCTGGGGAGCGCTCCCGTTCGAGCGGGGACCCCCATCCGACAACACGCACCCACAGCCCTCTCCGACCCCTCTATGGGTGTGGGTGTGTGTTGTTGGTTCGCCAGTGTCGGCGCCGCCCACGCTTGGCAGCCTGATCCGCCAGGTCGTTGCAGCGCTTCCGCCCAGGAGAGTCCTCGCGCGGGTGGCCCTTCACATACGTGAGGCGTCGGGGCGGCGCGCCAGCAGGCCCTGGCTCCATCCCGCCGTGTTCGTGGTTGTGGTGGTGCAGCCTCTTCCAGAGATCGACGCTCTTGCGCCGTGGGCTGGTGCACCAGCGCCGCCCGCGCGCCTGCCCATCCGGCGGCGGCAGATAGTCCGTGTGGATGTGAAGCGGGGCCACGCCTGCAGCAAGCACCTGCAGCTCGGCATGCGACTCAGCGCGTCCAGAAGTCTGGCGAGGCCCAGGGGAGGCCCGAAGACGGCACCGTAGCATCGGCAGTCACCGACTACCACGAAACCCCATCCAGCTCTGGCCGCAACGTCCCCTTGCTGAAGCTTCTTGCACGAACCATATGCACACCGTGTCCGTGATGATGGAACTGCTCCTAGCGCGCTCCACGATCATGGTGCCGGGCGCCTGAGTCGTCCCGTGGCGGCAACGCGGGCAGGAGAGAATTCGGGTACAGACCCTTGCAGGCAGTAAGGGTGGTCGGCGTGCGCGTGCTGGTGGAGCCTCTTCTGCGAGTGGTGCGCTCCGAGCACGGCAGGCGGGCAAGTGGACCCAGCACCCAGCGCTTAGCCTTCAGACCCGTCTGCAGCGGACCACGAATGTCAGGTTGACCCAAAAGGGGATCCAGCGACAAGGGGGTGGTGCAATAGATTTGGTGCAATAGATTTGTGGGGTTGCAATACATTTGGGGCGTGCAATACATTTCGGGGCTCAAGTGTATTGCTGCATTTTCGCGTGCAATACATTACTTGCAACACAATGCAACACAATTATCTGGCGCAGCACGTTTGCAATACAATTGCCCCAAATCTATTGCACCACCCCCTTTCAGCTGGAGCCCATTTTGGGTCATCCATCACTGTCGCTCGTTTCAGAAATCTAGGCCTGCTGCAGCGCAGCGGGCGCGGGAACAAACGCAGAGATCCGGCGTCGTGCCCACCGGCTTGCCCATCGCGCTTCAGAAACACCCCGCGCGTGGCAGTGCCGGTAAGGTTGGAACAGGTTGAGGGCCCTCTGTTTTTGAGGCGGCGCGGCAGAGAAGACCCCGCTGTGCACGGGAGCCCAGGCCGCCCTGTGGCCGGCCTTTCCTCGCAAGCATCACGCACGGGGTGCTGTGGAGAACAGATTTCGGAGACCATGCGAGCACAGCGGTCAGAATAGTCTTGAGATTGGGCCGTTTCGGGCACGGCCTCTTACATTGTCGAGCATTTCTCTTGCCATTCATCATTCTGCACTTGCGTGTGAGGCGGTGGAAGAGTCCATGGCGCTGTGCGCACGCCGGCATAGAGGCTGGCTCAACTTTTTGTTTCCCCCCCTCTTCCTCCTCCTTCTGCTCCGCCCTCCTCTCGCGGTGCCCCTGCACTTGAACGCGGTGTTGAATGCGGCGCGTTAGTTGTGATAGGACTGCTTGGTTAGAGGACTGGTACCACAGTGTGCATAAGACCTTCGGCCCCCGCCGAGAGTCAGGGGAGCTCTTCGCCCCCAGGTCGCGTCTAAGGGGCCTCAGCGGCTGCGTCTTCATCGTGGGGGGGAAAAAAGAACAGCGGTCTGAATAGTCGCGGGAAGTGGTCTGCAGCTTTCTCGCCCGACCCCCCCTGCCCCTGCCAGCGGCTCTTCCGGGTTGAGAGCTCTCTGTCTTTGAGGCGGCGCGGCGGGGAACACGCCGCTCCGCCCCGCAGCGCAGGCTGCGCTGTGGCCAACCTTTCCTCGCAAACTTCACATATAGGGTGCTTTGAAGAACGGATGTCAGAGATGATGATGATGATGATGATGATGATGATGATGATGATGATGATGATGATGATGATGATGATGATGATGATGATGTTGTTGTTGTTGATGATGATGATGATCATGCTGATGATGATGGTGAGGATAATGATGAAGATGGTGGTAATGATGCTGATGATGATGGTGGTGATGATGATCAGGAGGGGGATGGTGAGGATGATGATGATGATGAAGAGCATGGGTCTGCGGAGTCTGAGGAAGAGGTGGACTGGAATAAAGGAGGACGAGGGGGGAACAAGACGGGGAGGAGCAGGAGGAGAGGGACGAACGGGAGGAAGATGAGGGGTCCCCAGGGTGGCGGCCTCGTCTTCGTCTGCGTCGAGCGCTTTTCCTTCGGGGCCCCCCCTCGGTCGCCGCGGTGGGGCGCCCCTGGAAAAAAACATTGCCAGGGCAGAGCTTGGGACGGGGATGGTGGAAGGAATGGGGAGCGGAGAGTCCTCCTCCTCCTCCTCCTCCTCCTGCTCCTCCTCCTCCTGCTACTCCTCCTGCTCCTCCTCCTGCTGCTCCTCCTGCTCCTCCTCCTCCTCCTTCTCCTCCTCGTCGTCCTCCTCCTCCTCCTCCTCCTCCTCCTCCTCCTCCGGGGGGGGGGGGGGCAGAGAACGGGGGAGGGAAAAGCGGGGCGGCTGTGGGAGGCGGGAGAGGGGGGATGCGGAGCGAGTCCGGATCAGGGACGAGGAGGATGAAGCGGAGGATGATGAAGAACACTGGGAGCAGGGAGAGAAAGAGAGAGAAATAGAGAGAGAAAGATAACAAACAAAAAAGAACGAGAGAGAGAGAGAGAGAGAAAGAGAAAACAACATGAGCGCATGGAGTTGGAAGCAGAGACGACAATTATGAGGCTGTGGCGGATTTCTCGCGAACGCAAGGGGTGCGAACAACGCGGGCCTTCAAGGGGGAGGGGAGGGGAGATCGGGAAAGTCTGCCAACCGGATCGCTGCATGGTGCCATGCCGGAAGCCCCGAATTCCGACAGGTTCGTTCCTTGGTGTTTCTATTTGTCATTGTTCGTCCCTCTCTCTCTCTCTTTCTCTTTCTCTCTCTCTCTCTCGTTCTCTCTCTCTCTCTCTCTCCCTTCTCCACCTCTGCTCTCCCTCTCTCTCTCTGCCTCTCTCTTTCCCCCTTCTCTCTTTCTCCCCTCCTCTCTCTCTCTCGTGCTCTCTTCTTTGTCTTCCAGTTGCGACTGCTACCATGAAGGGTGCATCACGGGGTAACGCCTCGTCGTCTGGACGCCAGGAACGCAGCATAGCAGAGCAGAAAAGAATCCAGAAGAAGACGCAGGCCCCGTCGGCAGCACCCTTGGCTCGATGCAGGCAGGGAGCAACAGAGGGGGGATAGTTTCTAGCGGAGAGACGCTCTCTTGGCATAACGGGGGCTGCCCTGGCGGGCATAGTCAGCAAGACGACGGGGAAACGGACAAGGTGCACACTCACACATGTATCCATTGGCCTTCGGCGCATTGCGCCACCGCGCCTGGGTCGTAGGTCAGAGGTCTCTTGGATGCCTGTTGGGATCTCTCAGGAGGCCTTTCGGGAGCCAGTCCGTAGGGATGTCCTGGGGGACCTCTCGGGGGCCTGTTGGGGGCTTCCTTGGATTCCTTCGGGGCCTCTTGGGGGCCTGCTGGCGGTCTCGGGGGTCATCTTGGGCCGTAGGGCTCGAAGTGTCCGTTCGTGTTTCCCCTTTGGGGCCCCTCTCTTGGGGCCTTCCCAGGGCCGTCTTGGGGCCCTCTTTGGGCCGTCTTGGGGGGTTCGTGGGCCGTCTTTGGGGCCTCTTAGGACGCTCTTAGGTCGTCTTTGCGCTCTATGGCCTTTGGGCCGTCTGGGGAGCTTCGTGGGCCGTCTTTGGGACCTCTGAGGGCGCTCTTAGGCCGTCTTTGCGCTCTATGGTCTCTGCAGGGTCACGCGGCCGTGCCCCAGCAGTGCCCAGTAGCGCCCAGGAACGCATGCAACTCGGGGCCGTGGGCTCTTTGTGTATATTTCCACTGCCCAAACACGCACGACGACCTAGGGAAACACTCCACTACGTGCCAAGGTCTTGAGGTGGACATATACATATACATACACATTTACATATACATGTACACGTGCAGCTCGACTTACATACATATTTATATATACATATTATATATACATGTTCATTTACATGTACATTTACATATGCACAACCACAACCACATACATATGCATACACGTGCACTATATATACATGTACATATACATGCACAACTACATTTGCATGTACCTCTCTCTCTCTTATATATATATATACACATTCGTACAAAACCATATACGCTCACATATATGCATCTTCATATCCATGCGCATGGACATAGACACATGCGTACGTATACATGTGCATATGCGTTTGTGGAACATATACGTGTGCATGATCATGTACATCGGCATATATGTATGTATATATACATATACATGCACACGCACACATACATACATACACACATATATATGCATAAAACTAAAGTTGCACATTTGCAATTTGCATAGACATATGCATGTCCACATGCATGTCCACATACATGCGCACACGTAATACACACATTAAAACCTGTACGTATACATATGCGTATACGTGTACACATACAAATGGATATACCAATCCACATGCATACGCAACTGCATGTACATAGACCATTGCATATACACACCCGGTACACATACACACGCATATCCATCTCCATGTTCATACGCATATGCGTATACTTTCACATGTACATATACACATGCATTTGACTATGCACATGTCCATGCATATACCTATCCATACACATTTTCATACTCATATACATTCCATATACATATACATGTACGTATCCTTATCCATGCGCGTATGTATATACATCTGCATTTACACACGTATGTACACATCTACATACACATGCGCATACCTGTACGTATGCGTATGCATACACATAGACACACACACATATATATATACACCACTGTATACACATGTCCATATGCACGTGCATACACATACACATATACAAGCACAGTCACCTTTTATACGTCTACACTTTCATGCCCACACATACACAATTCAAATTCATACTCATATCCGTAGTCAGCATCCTATTCATATTCAGGTTCATACAAATGCACGTATAAATTTACATATGCATACACATCTACACGTACACACATATATGTAGACACATACAAGTATATATTCGCCAGTCGTTGAACTCAGGTATTTATTGGATTGCCAGGGTCCAATCTGCTTTAGGCGCCTTCCTACTTCAAGGGTCGAATGGGCTCATCTTTTCTTTCCTCTTCAGGGGGTGGGTGGAAACCCCATGTATATATCCAACGCCTTCCTACACCATAGTTCTACACGCTTCTTCCGACCGACTGGTATCTGTATGTATGTTCGTACGTGTGTATGCTTGTATGTGTGTATGTGTGTATGTATGCATGCATGCATGCATGAATGTATGTATGTATGCATGTATGTATGTTTGCATGTCTATTTGCATCATGCCCGTATGTATGCATGTGCGCATGTATGTATGTATGTATGCATATGTGTATGTATGTATGTATGTATGTATGTCTGTATGTATGTATTTATGTATTTATGCATTTATGTATTTATGTATTTATTTATGTATGTATGTATGTATGTATGTATGTATGTATGTATGTATGTATGTATGTATGTATGTATGTGTGTGCACATGCATGCGTGCAGGAATTTGTGTATGTATGTGAGCGGATATCGACTTATACTTAAACGTACAGACGACGCCTACAGCGACTCACCGCCGCCTCCTACCTATCTGAATCGCCCATACGTTGTGGCAAGAACTCTGCCAAGCTATCTGACCACGTGTTCCCCCAGCCGTTGTGGAAACCCTTCGGGGAACATCTGGGGGAGGATAGCGGGGACGATCTGGAGGAGTTCGAGGAGGAGGAGGAGGAGGAGGAGGAGGAGGAGGAGGAGGATGAGGAGGAGGAGGAGGAGGAGGAGGAAGAGGAGGAGGAGGAGGAGGAGGAGGAGGAGGAGGAGGGGGCATCTTGGGAGCCTCTGAAAGCACTCTTGAGGCCTCCTGGGAGCTTCTGGGAGCCTCTTGGAGGCATCTTGGGGGCCTCCTCGGGCCTCTTGAGGGCCTCTGGGGGCTTCTCGGGGGCCTCTTCGCCCGTCTTAGGGCGTCCCTGGCCCGTCTGACGCCGTCGGAAGCCGTCTTTGGGGCCTCTTTGGGCCGACTTGGGGCCTTCTTGGGGTGCTCCACGGTTGTCTTGGAGGCCATCTTGGGCGTCTTGGAGGTCTCTGGGGCCGTCCTGGGGCCCTCTTGAGACCGTCTTGGGGGCCTCTTGGGCCGTTCTGGGGCCATCTTGGAGGCCTCTTGGGCGATCTTGGGGCGATCTTTGGGAGCTCTTGGGCCGTCTCGGGCCGTCGGAAGGCCGACAAAAAACACATCTTGATCATCTTTCAACAACCTAAGTAAACAGCAATGATTTTGGCCTCTTCGGGCCTTCTTGGAGGCCCTCTTGGGGGCCTCTTGGGCCGTCTTGGAGGCCTCTTGGAGGCCTCTTGCGGGCCGTTTGGACCGTCGTAGGCTGTCCTGAGACCATCTTGGGCTGTCTTGGGTGCGTCTCGGGGCCATGTTGGGGTCTGTTGGGGCCATCTTGGCCGTCTTGGAGGCATCTTGGCCGTCATGGATGCCATATTGAGGCAATCTTGACAGAAAAAGCAGACGGGAGGGGCACCCTGGCGCGCTGGGTCGAAGCCCCAGGGGGAGTTCTTTTGGAACAAGAACCATAACCAAGCTGTTTAGGGTTCAGCACGCCAGGCACCCCTGTGATGAATCAACGGGGGGCGGCGGATAGTGGCCTTCGGCCCATCTGTCCACCGTGCCTTGTTTGACGGTCAGATGCATCTTGGATGTCCGTGGGGGCCTGTTGGGAGGCCTCGCGGAAGCTTTGTCAAGGGGTTTAGGGGTGTTTCGGGGGCCTCTCGGGGGCCTCTTGTGGCCTGATCTGGGTCTCTTGTGGGCCTGGGGCTTCCCGGGGGGCTCTTGGGGGCCTGCGGGCGATCTCGGGGGTCATCTTTGGGCGCAGGGCCCGAACTGTCGGTCCCCTGTTCCCCCTCTTGGGGCTCTCCTGGGGCACTTTTGCGGCCCTCTTGGGCGGGGGCGATCTTGGGGGCCTCTCGGACGGTCTTGGCGCGTCGGGGCACCGAAAAACGCCACAGGACAACCAATGATTTTAGGCCTCTTGGGGCCGTCGTGAGGGGGCTCTCGGGGCTCTCTTGGGGCATCGGGGGGGACCATCTTGGATAGCTCTGGGGCCAAAGCGGGGCCCTCTTGAACCCTCTCGGGGGCCTCTTGAGGTCTTGGGACAATCCTCTGGACTGAGGACGGAGGGCTCAAGGGACCTGGGGGCACTCCAACTCTTGCTCTTCGGGGCACTGTGGCTTTTCTGGTTTGTTTGTACGGGTATATGCGATATGTATGTCGTAGTTGCCTGCGCCCGTTTTGAAACGCGACGCGCCCCGTGTTCGAGACGTCCGTGTCAATGCCCTGCGAGTTGGCCCATCATGCTAGCCCACGTGCTGGCGAGTGTATCGCGACAGACCCACGTTTTCAGTCTACGTGTTGAGCTCCGTATTAACACGCTGCGGGTTGCGTGTTGCGTATTGGGGCAGATCAGGCGTACATTTAGCTGACCATGTCTGAATACATGTAGGGATCGACATACGCAGAGACATCGAGATATGTGTACACATGTGTGTATATAGGTGAGAGGGAGGGGATCTATCGAGCGAGAGGTTATATGTGTGTAGGTGCATATATTTGTATGTGTGTGCAGGTCTGCTCAGGTAGAGGGGAGAAAGGGAAGGGTGGGGGGCCTAGAGCTAGAGCTGGAGGGTTGGGTGATAGAGATGGGCGATGGGATCGGCGAGGAGCTGGGCCGGGGAGGGGAGGCGGCGGAGGAAGGGGCAGCAGGAGCGCAGCATCCCGCGTGCGTGGTGGTCGGTGGCTGCGACGGGGGCCGGCGGTCGCTCTGGGCCCTCACCGCGGCTCCACCCGCCCACCCCTGAGAGCCGAGCGCGTGCTATGCCTTCCCTGGCCTCTCGCCGTGGCCTGCGGGCATCCAGGCCCTTAGTGGGCCCTGGAAACGACAGGGCCGTTTTTTTTTACCGGTTCCGTTTTGCTGTTTTTTTTGCCGGTTCCGACGCCGTTTTTTCACCGGTTCCGTCGCCGTTTTTTGACCGGTTCCGGCTCCGGTTCCAAGCCGTTTTTTTGCCGTTTCCGGTCGCTG